TGAAGGGGGTGAAAGTGTCCGGTCTGGAAGGGGGGTGAAAGTGTCCGGACTGAAGGGGGGGGGAAAGTGTCCGGACTGGAAGGGGGGGAAAGTGTCCGGACTGGAAGGGGGGGGGGAAAGTGTCCGGACTGGAAGGGGGGGAAAGTGTCCGGACTGGAAGGGGGGGAAAGTGTCCGGACTGGAAGGGGGGGAAAGTGTCCGGACTGGAAGGGGGGTGAAAGTGTCCGGACTGGAAGGGGGTGAAAGTGTCCGGACTGGAAGGGGGGGAAAGTGTCCGGACAGGAAGGGGGGAAAGTGTCCGGAGGAAGGGGGGGAAAGCGTCCGGACTGGAAGGGGGGTGAAAGTGTCCGGACTGGAAGGGGGGAAAGCGTCCGGAAGGAGGGGGTGAAAGTGTCCGGACTGGAAGGGGGGGAATGTGTCCGGACAGGAAGGGGGGAAAGTGTCCGGACTGGAAGGGGGGGAAAGTGTCCGGACAGGAAGGGGGGAAAGTGTCCGGACTGGAAGGGGGGGAAAGTGTCCGGACAGGAAGGGGGGGAAAGTGTCCGGACTGGAAGGGGGGGAAAGTGTCCGGACTGGAAGGGGGGGAAAGTGTCCGGACAGGAAGGGGGGAAAGTGTCCGGACTGGAAGGGGAGGAAAGTGTCCGGACTGGAAGGGGGGTGAAAGTGTCCGGACTGGAAGGGGGGTGAAAGTGTCCGGACTAGGAAGGGGGGGAAAGTGTCCGGACTGGAAGGGGGTGAAAGTGTCCGGACTGGAAGGGGGGGGGGTCCGGAAAGTGTCCGGACTGGAAGGGGGGGGGAAAGTGTCCGGACTGGAAGGGGGGGAAAGTGTCCGGACTGGAAGGGGGGGAAAGTGTCCGGACTGGAAGGGGGGGGAAAGTGTCCGGACTGGAAAGGGTGTCCGGACTGGAAGTGTCCGGGGAAGGGGGGAAAGTGTCCGGACTGGAAGGGGGGTGGGTCTGATGAAAGTGTCCGGACTGGAAGGGGGTGAAAGCGTCCGGACTGGAAGGGGGTGAAAGCGTCCGGACAGGAAGGGGGTGAAAGTGTCCGGACTGGAAGGGGGGGAAAGTGTCCGGACAGGAAGGGGGGAAAGTGTCCGGACTGGAAGGGGGGGGGAAAGTGTCCGGACAGGAAGGGGGTGAAAGTGTCCGGACTGGAAAGGGGGGGAAAGTGTCCGGACTGGAAGGGGGGGAAAGTGTCCGGACTGGAAGGGGGGTGAAAGTGTCCGGACTAGAAGGGGGGGAAAGCGTCCGGACAGGAAGGGGAGGAAAGTGTCTGGACTGGAAGGGGGGGACAGTGTCCGGACTGGAAGGGGGGGAAAGTGTCCGGACAGGAAGGGGAGGAAAGTGTCCGGACTGGAAGGGGAGGAAAGTGTCCGGACTGGAAGGGGGGTGAAAGTGTCCGGACTGGAAGGGGGGTGAAAGTGTCCGGACTAGAAGGGGGGGAAAGTGTCCGGACTGGAAGGGGGTGAAAGTGTCCGGACTGGAAGGGGGGTGAAAGTGTCCGGACTAGAAGGGGGGGAAAGTGTCCGGACTGGAAGGGGAGGAAAGTGTCCGGACTGGAAGGGGGGGAAGTGTCCGGACTGGAAGGGGGGGGGGAAAGTGTCCGGACTAGAAGGGGTGAAAGTGTCCGGACTGGAAGGGGAGGAAAGTGTCCGGACTGGAAGTGGTTAATGTACACTTCCAACATGTTGTTTTGAACTCCAGTTACCCATCTAATGGTTATACTTGTTAGCATTATGACTAGAGATGAGCGAATCGAACTTGGCGAAGTGGAATTCGTTTCGAATATTAGGAAAAAATTTGATTCGCGCCGAATCCGAAAATTAGCAAACTTCGGATGCACGAATCGAATTTTCCCCGATCGGCCGATTTTCATCCCTTCTACAGCCGGCAAAAAGTGTCCCTGCAGAGAGCTCCGCTATTTCTGACAGTTCTCTGACAGTTCCTTCACATTTACAGCGGTTGAAACATTGTATCTATTTGTTTCCATTTAGGATACAGATGTTTTTATTCAGAAACAAATAGATACAATGTTTCAACCGCTGTAAATGTGAAGGAACTGTCAGAGAACTGTCAGAAATAGCGGAGCTCTCTGCAGGGACACTTTTTGCTGGAATGGAATTCTTCTTATTTTCATCCTACTTCTTCTTCTTCTTTTTCTTCTTCTTCATCCTCATCCTCATCCTCTTCTTCTTCTTCTTCTTCATCTTCATCCTCTTCTTCTTCATCCTCATCCTCTTCTTCTTCTTCATCCTCTTCTTCATCCTCATTCTCTTCTTCTTCATCCTCATCCTCTTCTTCTTCATCCTCATCCTCCTCTTCTTCATCATCCTATCCTCTTCTTCTTCTTCTTCTTCTTCTTCTTCTTCTTCTTCTTCATCCTCATCCTCTTTTCTTCTTCTTCTCACCATTCCTCTTCTTCATTCATCCTCATTCTTCTTCATCCTCATCCTCTTTCATCTTCTTCTTCTTCATCCTCATCTTCTTCTTCCTCTTCTTCTTCTTCTTCCTCATCCTCATCCTCTTCTTCTTCTTCATCCTCATCTTCTTCTTTTCTTCTTCATCCTCATCTTCTTCTTCTTCTTCTTCTTCTTCTTCTTCCTCATCCTCTTCTTCTTCTTCTTCTCATCCTCATCCTCTTCTTCTTCTTCTTCATTTCTTCTTCATCCTCATCCTCTTCTTCTTCTTCTTCTTCATCCTCATCCTCTTCTTCTTCTTCTTCCTCATCCTATCTTCTTCTTCTTCATCTATCCTCATCCTCTTCTTCTTCATCCTCATCTTCTTCTTCTTCATTTCCTCATCCTCTTCTTCTTCTTCTTCTATCCTCATCTTCTTCTTCTTCTTCTTCTTCTTCTTCTTCTAATCTCTCATCCTCTTCTTCTTCTTCTTCTTCAATTCCTCATCCTCTTCTTCTTCTTTTCTTCTTCTTCTTCTTCTTCTCATCCTCATCTCTTCTTCTTCTTCTTCATCCTCATCTCTTCTTCTTCTTCTTCTTCATCCTCATCCTCTTCTTCTTCTTCTTCTTCTTCTTCTTCTTCCTCTTCTCTTCTTCTTCTTCTTCTTCTTCTTCCTCATCCTCATCCTCTTCTTCTTCTTCTTCATCCTCTTTCTTCTTCTTCATCTTCCTCTTCTTCATCTTCTTCTTCTTCTTCTTCTTCATCCTCATCCTCTTCTTCTTCTTCTCATCCTCATCCTCATTTTTTCTTCTTCTTCCTTCCTCTTCCTTCTTCTTCATTCTCATCTCTCTTCTTCTTCTTCATCCTCATCCTCTTCTTTCTTCTTCTTCTTCTTCATCCTCATCCCTTCTTCTTCCTCATCCTCTTCTTCTTCTTCTTCATCCTCATCCTCTTCTTCTTCTTCCTCATCCTTCTTCTTCTTCTTCTTCATCCTCATCCTCTTCTTCTTCTTCTTCTTCCTCATCTTCTTCTTCTTCTTCTCATCCTCATCCTCTTCTTCTTCTTCTTCTCATTCATCATCTTCTTCTTCTTCTTCATTCTCATCCTCTTCTTTTCTTCTTCATCCTCATCTTCTTCTTCTTCTTCTTCATCCTCTTCTTCTTCTTCTTCTTCTTCTTCATCTCTTCTTCTTCTTCTTCTTCTTCTTCTTCTTCATCCTCTCATTCTTCTTCTTCTTCTTCTTCATCATCCTTCTTCTTCTTCTTCTTCATCCTCATCCTCTTCTTCTTCTTCTTCTTCATTCATCCTCTTCTTCTTCTTCTCATCCTTCTTCTCATCCTCATCCTCTTCTTCTTCTTCTTCATCTTCATCTCTTCTTCATCCTTTCTTCTTCTTCTTCTTCATCCTCATCTTCTTCTTCTTCTTCATCCTCATCCTCTTCTTCTTCTTCTTCTTTTTTCTTCATCCTCTTCTTCTTCTTCTTCTTCTTCTTCTTCTTCCTTCCTCTTCTTCTTTTCTTCTTCATCCTCATCCTCTTCTTCTTCATCTTTTCTTCTTCATCCTCATCCTCATCTTCTTCTTCTTCTTCTTCTTCTTCATCCTCATCTCTCTTCTTCTTCTTCTCATCCTCATCCTCTTCTTCTTCTTCTTCTTCTTCTTCTTCTTCATCCTCATCTTCTTCTTCATCAATCATCCTCATCCTCTTCTTCTTTCTTCATCCTCATCCTCTTCTTCTTCTTCTTCTTCCTCATCCTCTTCTTCTTCTTCTTCTTCTTCTTCTTCTCTCATCTTCATCTTCTTCTTCTTCTTCTTTCTTCTTCTTCTTCTTCATCCATCCTCATCTCTTCTTCTTCTTCTTCTTCTTCTTCATCTCATCTTCTTCTTCTCTTCTTCTTCTTCTTCATCCTCATCTTCTTCTCATCCTCATTCTTCTTCTTCTTCTTCCTCATCCTCATCCTCTTCTTTCTTCTTCTTCTTCTTCATCCTCATCTTCTTCTTCTTCTTCTTCTTCTTCTTCCTTCATCCTCATCCTCTTCTTCTTTTCTTCTTCATCCTCATCTCTTCTTCTTTTCTACATCTCTTCTTCTTCTTCTCATCCTCATCCTCTTCTTCTTCTTCTTCATCCTCATCCATCTCTTCTTCTTCTTCTTCTTCATATCTCATCCTCTTCTTCTTCTTTCTTCTTCATCTCATCTTCTTCTTTCCTCATCCTCATCTCTTCTTCTTCTTTCTTCCTTCTTCTTCTTCCTCATCTCTTCTTCTTCTTCTCATCCTTCTTCTTCTTCTTCCATCCTCTTCTTCTCATCCTCATTCATCTTCTTCTTCTTCATCCTCATCTTCTCTTCTTCTTCTTCCTCATCCTCATCTTCTTCTTCTTCTTCATCCTCATCCTCTTCTTCATCTTCATCCTCATCCTCTTCTTCTTCTTCTTCATCTCATCCTTCTTCTTCTTCTTCTTCTTCTTTCTTCTTCTTCTTCATCTCATCCTCATCTTCTTCCTCTTCTTCTTCCTCATCCTCTTCTTCTTCTTCTTCTTCATCCTCATCCTCTTCTTCTTCTTCATCCTCATCCTCTTCTTCATCCTCATCCTCTTCTTCATCCTCATCCTCTTCTTCTTCAATTGAAGCTGCTTCTGCTCCGCCACTCTGCCATTGGACTCTTCATAGTCGTCTCCCCACACTGCTGCTGGGGGGACTTTTTAACCTAGGCCTGTGTATGGCCTTCAATTTAAGCTGCTTACGCTTCGCCACTCTGCCATGGGCCCCTGTACCGCCTCCTCATGCTGCTGCCAGGCCCGTAATCTGTCATGGGCCCCTGTACGGCCTCCTCATGCTGCTGCCAGGCCCGTAATCTGTCATGGGCCCCTGTACTGCCTCCTCATGCTGCTGCCAGGTCCAGAGTGTGTCATGGGTCCCTGTACCACCTCCCATTGCTGCTGTCTCCATCGCCACACTCTGCCATGTGCCACTTTCAGGTCTCCTCACACTGCTGTGGGTTTCCATTTTGTCATAGGGTGCTGTATGGCCTCCCATTGCTGCTGCCTCCACCGCCACACTGTGGCTCCAAACACTGGTTTTGGCCCCGTGACTGCCCAAATGAGTGAAGTGTGCGGTGATTCTAAGATCGACGGCACTCATCTGCATGTCATACTGACTGACAGTATTATTTCTCTTCCCCAGCAGACTCCAAGGGCATTTAAATTAAAGGTACAGTGTTCTGCACTAATATAAAGGCTCTCTGAAGCCTAGAAACACCCTTTTAATAAGTTAAATTCGCAACGAATAAATTCGCATCGAATCGAATTTATTCCGCAAATTCGGCGAATCAGCCGAATCGAATTTTTGAATAATTCGCTCATCTCTAATTATGACAGTTGAGTGTCAATCACTTCTCATCCATACCTCCTATACACTCATGTCACACATGTATCACAGTATCAAGGGTTGGGGTTGTCCTGGTGGGACTGGCACACAGGCCAATATCATCTTCCACTGAGACTGCAGAACCTAAGCCAATGGAGCTCGAATCCCCAGGCAGTTCCTCGACTGCCCTGCTGAGAGAGGCAGTGAAAATGGGGTTTCCCTTTGTGGAGGAGTAGAAGGAGGAGAGTACCTGGCCCGAGACATCCAAGGGGACAAAAAAACTAAATTTTCTTTACTTGAGTATGCATAGTGGAGGTGTAGGCAAGGCTTTCCCCATTGAGTATACCTACTGTAGTAGGCTGATTTCAGACCCCTGGTCCTCTTTCTGCAGAATCCAGAAACCTATCTACCTCTGGGGATGGATAAGGATTTGCTTTGACTCAGACATCTCAGCTGCAGAGCAGGGGCGGACTGACAAATCATGGGGCCCCTGGGCAATAGGCGATCATGGGACCCCTGTGTCCTTGCCCAAACTCAAAAAAGCCTATGAAAAAGGTACTAGGGGCATCTCATGGGGCCCTCTACTGACCCCGGGCCCTCGGGCAGTGCCCGAGTTTCCAAATGGTCAGTCCACCACTGCCGATCAACAATCTACACCCAGACTAGCCGGGGGGAGTATAGGAAAAACATATGTCAACCACAGCTCCCATATTTGCAAAAATTTTTGTTGGGAGTCATTACGAATACTCGACATCTGTTCATTGAGCATCAATTTGGTCATCCGGTCCCGCACCCCCTGAAAAGGAACAGATGCACTTTTCCAGGCCTGAGGAATAGTTCTAGTTGCCAACAAGAATAAATAAGAGGCCAACTTCTGCTGACGAGCCAACAGGCCCGGTATGGGACAATAAAGCAAGGCATACCGGCACTGGTGTATTTAGGTTTTGAGCTGCCCTAGGCAACACAAAAATTGCCCCCCCCATGGAGAGACCCTGACACCGACCCACATCCCCTCCCCTATGTAGAGTGCCTGACATTGACCAACAACACCCCAGCCCCGCCCACACCCGAGAGAGCCTTCCACTACCACCACCCCCATACATTAGCAACCCCCCCCCACCCCGGGGGGATAGAAGACACCTTCACAGCTCCGGACATCCCTGGGAACAAGAGTCTACATACACCATCAAGCAGCCCGCAGCCTCTCTCAGATCCCACCTGGTCCCCATGCTGTGTGTGTCTCTTCTTTCATCCCTTCTTCAGGGAGGCGCCACTGCCCCCCTGAAAGATGCCACCCTAGTCAAATGCCTTGTTTGCCTTGTGGCAAATATGCCTCTGCATATGGGGAGATGAAACGAGGTGTAGAGAAGGCCAAATACACAAGACCAAAAACGAATCAGTCTCGGGCATGACCACCATATATGTAACACATCTCCACAATGGCCACAACCCCGAAAGCAGCCATCACAATAGGCAGAATCCGAGCCGGAACCCAATACCATCAAAACAATACTTTGCATGCCGCTTCCAGCGTGTTTGTGTTGAATGAACATTGGACTATGAACGACCAGGCCTTATTCCAGTCCTCCAATTCCACGGCCGCCCCCCAATTCGCGTTCCCATTGAGTGACATAGAAAAGCTTTTTTTGATGAGCTGGAAAAACAGCATTCAGCAATCTACAGCCAAGCTGTGTGGAATTTCTTGCAGGTCCCTAAACCATTTCAGAATGAGCTACTTCACAATCCAGCTTATGAGAACTTCCACCAGTATTCCGAGGATTTTAACTTACCTTTGATGCACTTCTGGTTTTGCTGGGTGCTCAGTTTCCAGCTCTGGGAACCACACTGTGCAATAGGGGACAAGACATATGACTTAAGTTTCTTCAAGCCAGCAAACCATAGATTTCCATAAGAGCAAATAACTCACCTCCTGCTAGATAGGTCAGTATTCATCATCTTCTTTGCAGGGTGCTTTAAAAACTATATATACAGTATATGCAACTTCTATGACCTTGTAACCTGACGTAGTGTTTGGTAGATTTCTCTCCAGTCTATTCCCCCATCTGTCTCCTCAGGTGGAGCATGAAGAAGACCCAGATTTCTGTGATAACAGCCTGCAGGCAATGTTGGTGAGTGTGGTATCAGCGGCTTCTGAGACCACCGCTTCAACCCTGAAATTCTGTCTGGTCTTCTTGGCCCACCATTCTGATGTCCAGGGTAAGAGTAACATTAACCATTGTGGGAATTCAGAACAATCTGTTATGTTTGCCTGTCAGATATGCAACCCTTGCCTACCTCATCCAACACTGCATCACAAACAAAACATAATTGACAAATTGATTTTGGTTGACCCAGGAGGTGCTCTGAAAAGACATTTAGGAAGGGCTTTTTTTTCAGCGGGAATGCGGGGAACTCAGTTCTGGCACCTCCAGTACTGAATGTATGTAATGGAAAAGGGTGCTGGGGTGTGCGGGAGGATCTATTGATGCTGGCTGATGGGGGATAAATTGTCCCAGGTGGGGATCTGCTTTTGTGTGGGGGTCTATTGCTGCTGGGGGAGAGGTTGATGACGGTTGAGAGATCTGCTGTTGTTGCTAGGGGGGTCTAATGATGCTGGGGTAGATCTTTTTATGGTGGGGGTGAAGCTTTGTTGTGGGCGGTCCATTGTTGTGTGGGGGATCTATTGTTGCTGGAGAGGGGTCTATTTTTGGTGGAACTTATTGTTGCTGGGGGGTCTTATGTTGCTGGTGGAGATCTACTGTTGAGGGAGAGGTTGCTGGCTGCTGGGGGAATCTGCTGTTGCTACTAGGAGGGTCTAATGCTGCTGGGGTAGATCTTTTGTTCCTGGGGATGAAGTTGTTTTGTGGCCAGTCCATTGTTGTTGTGTGGGGGATCTATTGTTGCTGCTGTAGGGTCTATTGTTGCTGCAAGGGAGCTATTGTTTCTGGAGGGGGGTATATTGTTGGGGAGACCTATCTGTTGTTTCTGGTGGGGATGAATCTAATGATGCTGGGGTAGATCTTTTGTTGCTGGGGGGAAGTTTTGTTGTGGGTGGTCCATTGTTGTGTGTGGGATCTATTGTTGCTGGTGTAGGGTCTATTGTTGCTGCAGGGGATCTACTGTTTCTGGAGGGGGGTCTATTGTTGGGGAGACCTATGTGTTGTTTCTGGTGGGGGTGAATCTAATGATTCTGGGGTAGATCTTTTGTTGCTGGGGGTAAAGTTTTGTTGTGGGTTGTCCATTGTTGTGTGGGGGATCTTTTGTTGCTGGTGTAGGGTCTATTGTTGCTGCAAGGGATCCATTGTTTCTGGAGGGGGTCTATTGTTGGGGAAGCCTATTGTTGCTGGGGTGGGGTCCATTGTTGCTGAGGGAGTCTGTTGTTGTGTGTGGGATCTATTGTTGCCGGGGGCATGTTGTTGATGGGGGATCTATTATTGCTGCATGGGGATTCATTTGACTGCTTTTCTTGTTAACAAATTCCATACAAAATTATTTAGCACCACAAAATACTTGGTTCTGTGTTCTCTAAAAGGGGCAGTACTGGTAGGTGGGTAGGGTGTGGAACCAAGGCACGGTGCTGAGAGGACGGTGGGGAGCAGAGACAAGGGGGACTCAGAAAGGGGGAGTTCCTGCAGCTATTCTGTGAGAAAAAAAACCTGCATTTAGGTAACCGTAAAAAAAAAAAAAAAAAACTTTATTATACAGGATTTATATATTATTATTATTATTATACAGGATTTATATGGCGCCAACAGTTTGCTCAGCGCTTTACAATATAAAGGGAGACAATACAGCAACAATACAGTTCAATACAAGAGGGATAGGAGGGCCTGATCCTGGGAGCTTACAATCTAGGAGGGGGCTAGTGGTACAAAAGGTAGTAGCTGTGGGGGATGGACTGGTTGGAAGAGTAGAAGATTCCATTATTAGCTGATGGCAGGATAGGCTTCCCTGAAGAGATCGGTTTTCAGAGATCGCCTAAAAGTGAGCAGAGTAGGTGATAGTCTGATAAATTGGGGTAGAGAGTTCCAGAGGATGGGGGAAGCTCTGGGGAAGCCTTGGAGACAAGCATGGGAGGAAGAGACAAGGGAGCTAGAGAGCAGGAGGTCTTGCGAGGAGCAGAGAGTACGGTTTGGGTGATATTTAGAGACAAGGTCGGTGATGTAGTTAGGGGCAGTGTTATAAATGGCTTTATACGTTATTGTTAATGTTTTGAATTTTATTCGTAGGGCAACAGGAAGCCAGTGGAGGGATTAGTAGAGAGGGTGGAGGACACTGAGTGGAGGCCAGTGGAGGGATTGGCAGAGAGGGGTGGAGGACACTGAGTGGAGGCCAGTGGAGGGATTGGCAGAGAGGGGTGGAGGACACTGAGTGGAGATCAGTGGAGGGATTGGCAGAGAGGGGTGGAGGACACTGAGTGGAGGCCAGTGGAGGGATTGGCAGAGAGGGGTGGAGGACACTGAGTGGAGATCAGTGGAGGGATTGGCAGAGAGGGGTGGCAGATACAGAACGGTTAGTAAGGTGGATGAGTCTGGCAGCAGCATTCATGATAGACTGAAGAGGGGATAGCCTGCGATGA